CCTCACAGTTACAGAGGTAGAGTCAGAACGGCAGAAGCTGGCTGACCGCAGTGCCATTCATACACAGAAAGAAAAGCGAGCCAAATGCACTGGGATGACGTGCGACTCTCCAAGCCCATCCCAGCAGCGCACTCCAGCAAGGCTCTCTCCTAAAGACTCCCAAGCAGGGCCACCAACTGGGGGCCAGGGTTCAAATGTGAGCTGAGGGAGATAGTCTCATACAGTGCATCACGAAAGCCAAATACAAAACCACACGTATTGTATGATCCCACTTACAAGAAATGACCAAAAGATGCATACTCATAAATAAGTAAATTATGGGTTGGAGCTGGTGAGGATATATGATTGTGGTTGTCTAATCTGGCATGTAAATGATACTCCAGTAAAGTTGCTTTTTAAAAAACTGGTTAAATTTACCTTACAAGTACGACTATAGTTGAAGGGACTAAAACAGCAACTGTGCTGGTAAGATGGCTGAGCAGGTACAGGTACTTGCCACTAAGCCTGAAAACCTAAGTTCAATCCCCAGGACTCACAAGGCAGAAGGAAAATCAACTACTATGAGTTGTCCTCTGACCTGAAAGCCATAGTGTATACACACTCAACCTAAATAGAGAAAGCAGGTATCACCCTCATCCCATTCAAACACAAATGGCTTCACCTTATCATACTCATCTCTCTTGCTTACCATCCTTATACCCACTTTATACCCACTTTATACCCACTTTATACCCACTCTCTCAACTTTTCAATACGTCATCTTATTTTCCTATTAAATGAAATATCCCACAGTTCCTAATTCCCCGAGAAAAACTGGTGTTATCACAAGAAATGTTCTGCATTCTACTCATCATACGCACCCACTGACTATAATCTTGTGTACTTAAGATTACATAAAACTTCAAACCACTCCCCAGAAACATTAGCTGGAGAGGCCCACAAGGCCTGGGGCTGTGACATTAGAGAGACTACTCAGTCTGCAGAAAGCTCTAGCAGATGGGCTATACACGATGGCTCAAGCCTCTATTTGCATGAGTTTCTTCTCTCATCTAACTCAGTGGTGATGCCACAGCACTTCTTCCCCACGTCACCTGCTTACAGTTCTAACAAGAGTCTTCTCATCAGCACATGCTCAAGCGTTTCTCATCTTTTTTTAAGGGAAAAAAGTGAGTCAAATTAATGGCAGAGTACCTGCCTAACAACCATAAGGGCCCAGGTTCAAGACCCAGAGCTGGAAAAAACATACCAGAGGCTTTAAAAATACATCATTCAAACAAACTTATAGACGATAATAGGTATATAACAAGATGTTCCCACCATATATCACTAGAGAAAAGTAAACAAAAGCCACATCAAGACACACCACACTCCTCACTGTAAGCAGACAAAGCCTCACTCCTGGCTGGTTGGAATGTAAAATGGCAGCTTCCTACAAGGCTAAACACACTCATACCACACAAGCAGTCACACTGTTCAGTACTGACCCAGACAGGATAAAACTCCCCTGCTCAAAATGTGCATATGATATATTTATGGAAATTGAGCAACCCTAACCTGACTGAAATCCAGAACCATCTAAAGTTTAAAACCTGTTTCTTACGGACTACAGAGATGGCTCAGCGGTTAGGAGCACTGACTGCTTTTACAAAGGACCCAGGTTCAGTTCCCAGCACCCACATGGCAGCTCACAACTGTCTGTAACTCTAAGATCTGACACCAAGGCACATAAAATAAAATAAATATATTTTTTTAAAAAAACTTGTTTCTTGCACAACAATCATGCAAATCACCATAGGAGCTAGAAATGGCTCAGAAGTGAAGAGCAACGTTGCTCTTCCAGAGAACCCAGCTTTGATTCCCAGCTGCTGGGTTACATTGGGGTGAGGTGTGTCCCTGTATGGTCAATTGTTGACTGCTGAACTGGCAGAGAGCTGAATACTACCTGAATCTTGGCACTGTGGCCCATTTCTATGACCCATCACCTGTCTCATATTTTGTAAATAATCGTCCTTAAAATTTATTTAAGACAGGTCAGTGGCTGGCTCTTTGATCACCTCCCCCTGAGGGGGGAGCAGCCTTACCAGGCTATGGAGGAGGACAATGCAGTCCTGATAAGACCTGATAGGCTAGGTCAGAGGGAAGGGGAGGAGGACCTCCCCTATCAGTGGACTTGGAGAGGGGCATGGGAAGAGATGAGGGAATAAGGGTGGGATTGGGAGGAGATGAGGGAATAAGGGTGGGATTGGGAGGAGATGAGGGAATAAGGGTGGGATTGGGAGGGGATGAGGAAGGGGACTACAGCTGGGATACAAAGTGAATAAACTATAATTAATAAAAGATAAATTAATTTTAAAATTTTTTTAAAAGGACAGGTGTTCTGTCTGCATGTACACCTGCATGTACAGCTGGTGCCAGAAGAGGGCACCAGATCTCATAATGATGGTTGTGAACCACAATGTGGTTTCTAGGAATTGAACTCAGGACCTCTGGAAGAGCAGCCTCTGAGCCATCTCTCCAGTCCCCTCACCTATTGGTTATACTAAAGAGCTGACAGCCAATATCTGGGGCAGGAAGGAGAGGGCGGAACTTCCAAGAGAGAGAGAGACAGTGGGAAAAGAAAGAAAAGGAAAGAAAAGGGAGGTATCTGCCAGCAAACACAGAGGTGAACATGGACCAGAAGAGAGCAGAGGTTGAGCTAGCCACGTGGCAGAATGCAAGGTCAGGATTAGTCGGGTAAAGCTGGATAGTCAGCTGGGAGACTGCCTAAGCTAAAAGGCCTATGCTTTAAACTTACAGAAGTCATTATTTTATAGTCAGCACCCACATCAGGTGAGTCACAGCCATCTGTAACTACAGCTTCAGAGAATCCAATGCCTCTGGCCTCTGTGGGTATCCACACACATGGCATCCATTCACACATCCATATACACACAAATATAACTGATTGAAAATAAAACGTCTTTTAAAAAGTTACCAACAAGAGGGATACACACACACACACACACACACACCAAGAGGGATATATATATATATATACACACACACACACACATGTATATATTTATGAAACAATTTTTCACAGACCTGACTTCTGTACCTAAGATATCTTATTATGTATATGCACACATTCCAAAATATGACATCTGAAGCACTTCACTCTATAACAGCTTTATTCACAACTGCTATTATAGACTACACATATATATCCTCTCAAAATTCATGTTGAAAGAGATATGGTGACTCACACCCATAACCCCTGCAGTTGGGAAGTGGAGGCAGGAGAATTACGAATTTGAAGCCAGCCAACGCTACACAGTAAGACACATCTCAAAACTTTTTCCAGTGCTCTAATCTAACGCGATGGTGTGGGGAGGGGAGGTTCTGTGAGGTCACTCAGCCATGTGTACAGAGCCCTCCAGGATGGGGTTAGTCCCTACAGAGAGCAGAGAACTGGCTCATCCCACCCTCTTTCTCATGTTGGATAAACAAAGTCAGTATCTGAAACCTGCAGTCACACCAGAATGTGACTGCTAACACACTGGCCTTCAACGTCCAGCCTCCAAGACCATAAGGAATAGTGTCTGCAGGTTTAGCCACTCGGTCTGGGGTAATGTGTTCCAGTTTCATGAGCTGAAACAACTGTAGAATCTTGGAAGCTCTTCAGTTCTTTGCTAGGCGGATAGATAAGGCCTACTTTGCCCACCCACCTGGAGGTATAACTCTTGGCTCTAGCCAGGTCCCGCCCTCTTTAACTTTCCCTCAGTACTTACGGTCTTCTAATGGACTATGTGCAATGACCAACTGTGACTGTCAACTTGACTGGGTTGAGAAGCATGTAGATTAGTAAAGCATAGTCTGTTGGGTATTTCTAGAGAGGTTTGACATACAGGACAGCAATCAATGAGGGGAGGGGAGATATAGGCCAAATATGAACACTGTCACAATGGGCTGCAGGCCTGCACAGGACAAAAGTGGGAGAATCAGGAAACCAGCTGGCACAAGCAAAGCTCCATGGCTACTACCGCCACCTGGAGACATCAGACCTCACCAGCTTCAGGCTTTCAAGAAAGAGTCACACCAGCAACTCTCTAGGGGAGTCTAGGTCTTCAGCCTGGGACAAGGGTTATGTCACTGGTCTCAAAATTGTTCTAAGTGTTTATCTTCTTGGACTGACCAGCTACTAAGTACATCCAGTGTGCTCTTAACAATCCCCTTTCATAGTTACATTTATATTCAGTTGGATCTCTTCTTCTAAAGAACCTTAATATACCATATAATCTATTTCTTCCTTTCTTATTGGCTGTGTCCCTTACTCACCTTCAAACAATAAGTTTACAAACACCCTTACACTTACAATTCACACTTCCCATCATTCTGACCGCTAATTCTGAGGTCTTTCTGAAGAACCAGCAAGTCCTGGCTCTTTATTTTAAAATCTTCTCTAGATCAGGTGGGCACAGTGTGACGTACTTGCAGTCTAGCATTTGGAAGGCTGAAGCAGGATCACCCAAGTTCAAGAATAGCCTGGTCCACCTGATGAGTTCCAGGCCACCCCTAAGCTACAAAGTGAGACCTTGTCTCAAACAACCAAGATAAAATCAAATCACCCAGTACTTGCTGAGCTTCGATTCTGAAAATTATGGACCTCGAGCTCATCAAAGTACACAGTTAATCTTGTTAGCAACGTCAGAATGCTCAGTTAAGACAGTTAAAGCCAGTTACCAAACTAATCAAAACCTTATTTGAGTTTCCACAGTAGACCTACCTGTACTACTCAGGACCTTTCATTACGATAATAATAGAATGTACTTTGCATTCCGAGGTCTCAAGAAGAGAGTACTCTTAAAATTTCTCAGTACACATGGGCAAAACTGTAAGATGCCTTGGAATCAAATAAAAAGGAAATAAGAGTTACTCAAGACAGCCAGGACTGGATTCTCTCAACTCCAGCATTCAGTTTTACACTGATTAGGACACCTCTCACAACTGAAGTCACATACCTAGAGGCATCCAGGAATGGTCTGTGGGCAAGACTGACCCATTCTTCTCTGTTGGATGAGTAGTTTGGCTCCCGAGGTGTTTCTCTCATAGTGTCCAAATCCACTAAGTAATGGCATTTGCTGATGTCAATCTGAAATGGAAAATATCAGCTCTCCATCAGTAACTGTAAAGATGCCTGCATAGTGGGGACCCAAACACAACCCTAACAATTCCGCTAGGCTGGGAAAGGGCCAAGCACCCATGCCACCTGTGCTAACACACAGGCTATCACCAAGGCGCCTGGAGACAGCATGCACTTGCTTTGATGGGCAGAGCTGGCTGTGGGTGGGCTGCGCTAGTCTATATTTGGAAGTCCCTCTAGCCCCACACACACTTATAAGACCTACTTGCGGACACAGCTCATCTCTAGAAAAGATCTGTGCTCACCACTGCTCCCGGCCATAGATCTTATTCTGGAGATCTAAAGGGCACAATTAACACAAATACCAGTCTGTGAGGAAGCCCTGACTCTCCTGAAGGAGCCAAAGGCTACACTGCACCTCATAATAACACAGCAGGATCATGAGAGTCTCCTGCAGGAAGTCAGCAGAATAGACAGAGCATAGAAATGGCACCACAGCAAGGCTCAATATAACTGAGGAACCTCAACTACAGGACTGAAGAGCAGGAAGAATACAGAATATCAGCAGCAGTCACTCAACTGTTCACAACCTGGATACCCTAGAACCTACAGGTGAATTTAAGTGCATTCCATCTTAAAACCAAAATCCCTGTTCATCAAAATCCCATTTTGAAAGTAAGACAGTAAGTATAAACTACTTACTGTAGAAGACAGATGAGATACATCAAGCAACCACGGTTCCTAATATATATAACGAGCTCCTATCAATCAGCGAAATAAAAGAAACTACCCAACAATAAGCTACTTTTGTGGGGTAAAAGGCCCACGCCCATTTCTGAGCTGAAAAACATACCAAGACCCACCAATCCCTACCCTGGAAATCTCTACCCTAGAAAACTTGTTTCCCCCAAGAAACCCTATATAAGACTGCCTCCTGCTCAGTTCCTGGGTGCTTTTCTTTAATACTTTTTATATTAATTACAGATTATTCACTTTGTATCCCAGCTATAGGCCCCTCCCTCATTCTATCCCAATCCTACCCTCCCTCCCTCATCTTCTTCCATGCACCTCTCCAAGTCCACTGATAGAGGAGGTCCTCCTCCCCTTCCATCTGACCCTAGCCTATTAAGTCTTCAAGAGTGGCTGCATTGTCTTCCTCTGTGGCCTGGCAAGGCTGCAGCTCCCCCCACCACACAAGAGGGAGGTGATCAAAGAGCCAGCCACTGGGTTCATGTCAGAGACAGTCCCTGTTCCAATTATTGGGGAACCCACTTGGACACTGAGCTGCCATGGGCTACATCTGTGCAGGAGTTCTAGGTTATCTTCATGCATGGTCCTTGGTTGGACTATCAGTCTCAGAAAAGACCCCTGGGTCCAGATTTTTTGGTTCTGTTGCTCTCCTTGTGGAGCTTCTGTCCCCTCCAGGCCTTTCTATCTCCCCTTCCTTTTATAAGATTCCCTGCACTTGCCCAAAGTTTGGTTCTGAGTCTCAGCATCTGCTTTGATACCCTGCACGGTAGAGTCTTTCAGAGGCCCTCTGTGGTAGGCTCCTGTCCTTTTTTCTGTTTTCTCCTTCCGATGTCCATCCACCAAAGCAGCAGCAGCCACCCTCCTGTGTCTCTCTCGGGTGGGGTTTGTTGTGTGGTATTACTTTGTGGTGCTCCTTGGCTTCCAACTGCCAGGATACCTTTCCTGGCAGCCCTACTTTGAACTTTCTCTTCTTGTCCTAAGGATGCGGGTATCCTCACAGCTGCAATGCATCCACTGGGGAAGCCTTTCCCCTCAGAGCTGTAACACCTCTAACTTTAATAGGTTATTTCAAAGATCTCTAAATGAAACAAATGGAAAAGAACTCAATCTCACTAGTAAGCAGAAAATGTAAAGGTGAATCACAATAGAAAACGGTGGCCATAACATAAAGCAACAATTATATATTAAGGTGGTACAAAAGTTTTAGAAAACTATTTGGTAGATCTACCAAAACTGAGTGTCAGTATTTCTTATGCTCTTAAAATCACAGGAAACTATAATTTCATCTAATTCAACCTGAAATATATCTAACAGAAATACCCATCTCCTTAGGACAATTCAAGAAGGTTCAGAGCAGGGCCAGCAAGAGGGCTCAGTATGGGAGGGCACTTTCCACTGAGCCTGAGGATCTGAGAACAACTCCCCAGGAGCCAAATGGTGGAAGGAGAGAACTGACTCCCATAAGCTGTCCTCTGACCTCCACATGTGCTCTCACACATATACACAAGTAACAGATGCACACATAAAAACATACAAATGGAAAGAAACCTAAAAAAAAGGCAAAAGGAAGAAAACTATTACTATAAAAGTAGCAGGCTGCCTCAGAGATGATGTAGATACGGCCAGAGGAATTACTGCGAAGCCTTGGGGTCTGTAAATATTCTATTCTTTGTCTTAGGAAATGCTTCATGAATACGTCCTCTTACAACAATTGAATGTATACTTGTAACCTATAACCTAAAATGTATAAAATATATACCTGAGGAAAGACTTTTTAAAGTGCACGCAAATAAGAGCAACCTGGTTCTCACTGGCTTGCAGCAAGCTGTTCTTTTCCAGCATCTACCTCACAGCAATGTTCTCATTCTCTCAGTGTTTTTATATGTTAAAAAGACTTTAGTCTCACATCTGTCTCTACATATGGGCTATTCCTCCAGGGGAGAGAAAGCACACTGAGAATTGACGTCAGACCCAATTCCATTCCACATAACTCTCTAAAAATGGTCCTTTGCATAAACACTTCAGGAAGTAGCTTTTTTTTTTGACTGAACACCCACTCTGTAGCTCCCAGGCGACAGTAAGAACATGACGCAATTTTTCAATGGCTTTCCAATGCTGTGCCTCTAAGAAGAATCCGAAAAAGCTGGAGGGTCTGACGGTCTCACGCTTAGACTCCTTCCCACAGGGAGTTTAGGCCTGAATGGTTACAATCCCTAACCTTTAGCCTGACCTTTCCCTGCCAGGCACACTACAGGTCTAATTATAGAGGCTTGGCTGGGTACAGTCTACTGCAGCTGGAGGTGATAACTAAAATCCTTTTAGCAATCAGTTTGGGCTCCACTCATTACACCATCCCTAAGGAAATTCTAAGTTGAATTCCAAGAAAAGGTCTTGGAAAGATATCAAAGCAAAGCCATATCAAGGTAATAACGCATTTTGTAAAATTTTATTCTCTGTCTTATCCTTTGGAAAAATGGTTGCTGAAAACTAAAACCATGACAAAGGCCTCCAGAAGCAGGGCTTAGGTACAATCAGGAAAGGTTCTTCATTCAAGGGAAGATAAAGTTATTAGAAAAGGAACTTTAAGCTCATCGGTGGGTGGCACACACCTTTGATCCCAGCACAGGGGAGGTAGAGGTGGGCAGATCTCTGTGAGTTTGAGGCCAGCCTGGTCTACAGAGTGAGTCTAGGACAGCTAGGGCTACACAGAAAAAAACTGTCTTGAAAAGAAATGGGGGCAGAGGGAGAAAAGAAACTTTAAAGCATCAGAATTATTTTCACACAAATTATGTATGAGCTGTATCCACTTAAGTTTTTTTTATAATTTGTTCAACTTGTAAAATCAACATACTGCCACTAACCTCTACGAATTGTAAAGAAGATTAATGACATATTTGAACAAAACTTATCAACTCTGAAGAAATACACCAATGGCTTAAATAATAAAGGAATGTGACCAGCTTGCAAAATCAGAAAATGTAACTGAGGAGAACCTGAGGCATCAGCGGCCATGATCACCAATAATCCTAGTTCAACTCTGACTGGCATCTATTGCCAAGTCAGGTTATACCCAGTATATAAAACACTGGCTATCCATGACTGAATCAGGAGCATCCACTGAATGATGTCAAAAATCCATCATCAGCGAGTTCGAGAGATGGCTTAGGAGTTAACAGCACTTGCCCTTGCAGAGGACCCAAGTTGGGTTCCCACAGCAGCCACGTAAGTTGCAAACACACACACACTCATACATGCAAATAAATAAGATATGTATTTTTTAAAAGCCTACACAGGAGAGGGAGGAGGGAAGAAGAGGGAAAGGGAAAACTAACTTCAACGATCACTTAAAACTAGGACAGTCCTCAAATTATATGCTCTCATAGCACCAAGTATTCCTCAAAACATTTCACAATTATCTATAAACAGTGAAATTTCTATACACTTTACAAAAAGCTGGAACTATGTCTATCTGATTCATTCTTATATTCCAAAGCACACAGCAGGGATTTAGTAAATGTGTATTTAACAAATGAATAGGAAAAAAAAAACAACTTGTATTTTAAGAGGGGAAAGGAGAAGGAGGGAGAGAAGGAAAGAGAAAGGGAGAGAGGGGAGGAGTAGAGAGGGAGAGAGAGGGAAAAAAAACCTGTATTTTAAGAGGGGAAAGGAGAAGGAGGGAGAGAAGGAAAGAG